CCTTGAAGCCCGTCCTCCTCCTCCTCCTCCTCCGCCCAGGCCCCAGCGTGTACCACTCTGGCGCTCCAGAGGCGGCCTCTTGTGCGATCCAGGGCGCGCAGGGCTGGGAGAGCGCCCCGGGGCCCCTGCTCTCCACGCCAGAGGTTGGAAGAGGGTGGGTCGCCGCCGCCTGAGGGCGAGAGCGCCAGAGGAGCGGGAAGAAGGAGCGCTAGCCCGCCCGCCTGCCTCCTCGCTGCCTCCCCGGCACTGGCTCTCTGGACTCCTAGGCTTGCTGGCTGCTCCTCCCACCCGCGCCCGCCTCCTCACTCGCCTCTTCGTTCGCCGGGGCTGCTTTCCAAGCCCGGCGGTGCGCCCGGGCGAGTGCGGGGCGAGGGGCCCGGGGCCAGCACCCAGCAGGGGGCGGGGGTCTGGGCAGAGCGCGGCAGGCCGGGGAGGGGCCATGTCTGGCGCGGGCGCAGCGGGGCCCGTCTGCAGCAAGTGACCGAGCGGCGCGAACGGCCGCCTGCCCCTTCTGCCACCTGGGGCGGTGCGGGCCCGGAGCCCGAAGCCCGGAGCCCGGGTCGCGCGTAGAGCCGGCGCGATGCACGTGCGCTCGCTGCGCGCTGCGGCGCCGCACAGCTTCGTGGCGCTCTGGGCACCCCTGTTCCTGCTGCGCTCCGCCCTGGCCGACTTCAGCCTGGACAACGAGGTGCACTCGAGCTTCATCCATCGGCGCCTCCGCAGCCAGGAGCGGCGGGAGATGCAGCGCGAGATCCTCTCCATTTTGGGCTTGCCCCACCGCCCGCGCCCGCACCTCCAGGGCAAGCACAACTCGGCGCCCATGTTCATGCTGGACCTGTACAACGCCATGGCGGTGGAGGAGGGCGGCGGGCCCGGCGGCCAGGGCTTCTCCTACCCCTACAAGGCCGTCTTCAGCACCCAGGGCCCCCCTCTGGCCAGCTTGCAAGATAGCCATTTCCTCACCGACGCCGACATGGTCATGAGCTTCGTCAACCTCGGTAAGGGCAGGCGGGGGTACGCGTCTCTGTTCGGGGGCACTTTGAAACCGGGAGGGAGGGAGCCGCTTCTTCTATACAGCCCGCCCAGCTTTCTGCTCCTGGTTGAAATCGCAGTGCCTGCCCGAGGGTCTCCCACCCACGGCCCTATGGCTCCCAAGCTGTGTGCGCCTCCAGGTCTGGCGCGCTGGGCTCGGTGGGCCTGTGGGGGTTACTGGGAAGGAGGGATCCTCGGAAGTCCCCTCCATGTTACGCCGCCGGCCGCATCTCTGGGACTGGAGGCGCCGGCCGTTCAAAGCGCGGGGCTTGGTCATGTGAGCTGTCCTGGGCTGGCGCGGCTCGCGCTACCTGGATGTAAAGGGCCCTTCCCGGCGAGGCTGCCTTCCCGCCCTTCCTGGGCCCCTCTCAGCCCTGCCTGGCCCTGGCATCTCGGCCGTCGCACTCCCTTACCCGCCCTGACAAGCCCTACCTGTCCCCTAGTGGTGCGCCCGCCTTAGCGTACCGCGCGCTCCGAACGCCTTGGGGCCCCTCTCCGGGCCGCCGGATGCCCCATTCTCTCTTGGCTGGAGTTGGAGAGCTTGCTAGTTTGCGTTCTTTTATTTTTTCTTTTTTTTCTTTCTTTTATTTTCTTTATTTTCTTTTTTTCTTTTTTCTTTTTTCTTTTTT